CGTCGCTTCACTGAACTGCGTGTCTAATTTGCTCGTGTGGTAGCTCTGGCATCAAACGGAAAAATGGCGACAGAATACACAAGCACGAGAGCCTTAGGGAACAAACGGGCAGCTGCTCCTAAGGAGGTGTTAGCAAGTATTGGTAACAAGTTTATTCTCGTCTTGGCTTTTTGCTATGTCGTTTCTGTATGTGGCTTAAATATCGGTTCGATCAAGAGTGACACAGATATTTCGACGTCGTTTCGTGCTGCACGTGTTGACCACCAGACTCATATATGAGTTTCTCCTTGACCAGTCGATTGTCCATATGGAAAACCGTCGCGTAAGTCATCATAAAGTTTGGGTGTAGCTTCCACTGTGAAAATATTACGTCGTAGCAGTGAGATCAGACGTGAGTATGCAGCTTTGCATCTGCAAGTCGATATGTTTGGTTGCAAGCGCGATATCATCGGCATAAACGAACTTCTTCGACGCTGTTGATGGGAAGTCGCTGGTATAGCGATGGAGAAATTACTGCACCCTGTCCGAGTACATTGTTCAGGATTCTTTTCTTGCTGACCCGCCCATCGATATGGACCCGGTACCGACGGTCGCTAATCATAGCTGCAATAAGGCGAAGATTCTTCTGGCACCCGATTATTCTGAAACTTTGTACATTAGACTGTCACGCCAGACCATATCATAAGCATGATAGATCAATCAAACTACTCCTGTTTTTTTGTTTCCGTTGAAATTCTGCCTCAGTGAAGTTGATAAGAGAAAGCAGTTGCTCGCAGCAACTGCGTTTAAATCGAAAGCTAGCTTGTTCCACTGGGAGTGCGGTTTCAGTTACAAGAGAAAGCCGCGTCAACAAAGTTCGCTCCATCAGTTTCCTCCCCGTGCACAGTAAAGAGATAGACGTGTAACTATCTGACCTCTCTGGAGGTTTTCCTGACTTTAGGAGGGCGACAGCTTTGGCACGTCGCCAGACGGACGGAATTTTTCTGGTTGGATGGATTGCCATTAAAAGAGAGGCCAGTCACTGTCGGCCCTTTGGACCCAAGTTCATAAGAAATTCCGGGAAAATTTCCTCCACATCAGCAACCTTCTTGTTCCTCGTGGCCAACGGTGCCACGTTTATTTCCTCTTGAATGCATGGAGCGGATAGGGAGCTTGTTTCAGGGCAGCTGTCAACCTTAAGAAAATATTCTTTCTGCACTATCGTGCGGGCGGCTTTATCTGTCGGTGTTTTAGACGTATACAAGAGGTGCGCAGCAGCGGCATCAGCAAAGATTTTGCTACTCGGTGCTTTGTAGGTTCATCTGCGCCAAGGTGGCGGAGCAGTGCTCATGCCTTACGACTCGATTGTGTGAAATCCAGCGTTTCCAGAGTCTTCCACCATCGTCTTTGCCGCTCTGAATTCAAGGACTGGACGAGAGCAGCTACAGTTTCGGGGGGTCCTCGGCCTCGGCGTTTGTACTCCATGTAAATTTTCTCTGTCTCCTTCGACCAACTAGGGGTATAGATCTTCCGATATCCACAAGGGATGTTCTTTGTCGCAGCAGAGATCAATATCTGACCAAAAATGCCAAATGCTTGGGGTGTGGGCAAGACCCGTTGAATACGTGTCTATATGAATGTCTATGTATATGAATAGTGTTCGATGACCAGTTTGCTTTACGAAAGTTCCACCGAGGTAGTGGAGCGGACTGAATTAGCAGTACCTGCAGACCGATTCGGTGCACTACAGGGCAGTGCTAGCTTTTTGGAAAGACTCCGAGCAATGTCCTGGAAACAGGAGGCGGAATGCCGCTACTGTCTTCGGAGACGAAGCAAAGGTTTGGGCCTCTATCAGTCTTCCATCTTGCTGATCTGAACCTACCTTGATGTTTGGCATTGTGGCACAAGTGTATACCAGCTGCTGATGCCCAGTCAGTTAGTTTTTCACCTGCCGCTTTGTTCATTATGCAGCCCCATGCAGTATAGTGGCTGTTAAAGCCACCCGCATGAACAGTTGGGTGAGGCATCGTTGGTAATGGCGGTGTTAGCTTATGTTACACCAGTTAATTCCGGGTTGCTTATGTTTATTATAGCAATTTCTTCGACGGTCACTGTAGCGAATTCCAGACCATTTAGTTTGTCTATGTGTTTGCCGATCCGATTTTCGTCGCTGTTTATCATAGCGACATCCTTGAGGTCTAATCTGGCATAGGTAGATGGGCCGTGTTTGGACTCACTGGTATTAGCGATCTTATTGAACCCAGCAATTTTGTACCCGGCTGCTTGGCATTCATTTTCAGTGTGCGTCTCTTGCAGAATGGCAGTGTCAGTCTCGTTTTCTTTTAACGTAAGTCTCGTTTGATAGATATTCGCATTTTGCGTAGGAGAGGCCTGCAACGTTCAGCTGAAATATGCTGATCGTGTGGTCAATGGCTTTATTTCTTTAGCCCTCATAAAGACTGTTGGATTTCTTTACTCTTCTTCTATCGCCCTCATAAGGACCGTTGGGTTTCTTTGTTTTTCTTTTATGGCCCTCATGAAGATCGTTTGGTTTATTTGTTTTTTCTCTGTGACCCTCATAAGGGCCATTGGGTTTATTTCGAACTGGTTTACATGTTTGGTTCTGAAAAGATGAACCCTTAGGTTTATTTCTAGTCGAGCCGAGAGATTGCTTTCGCAACGTTCGGCTGCCAGGTGACGACATTCGTGATATTGTTAAGTTGTGGCGTGCTTTCGCAGTGCGTAACGGGAACACCACCTGAAGGTTGTCGTATTGTCCCCAAGACGGAGGTGACTGTCTAACACCTTTGCAATCGGCCGGTCAAGGTAGCAACTCATGGTTGAGTTCTGTGGTCAATTTCTGCAACACGAAATGACGCCAAAATATCTGTGCATTACTCTTTATTGGACTCTCACGTTTAAGCCATCAATGTGAGGATAAATCTTTTATGTAAACTTGTTGACACCTCTTGGAATGCATTTGCTAGATTGCTGCATACTAAGGTCATGGTGCTCTTGTACTCTGTCCCAGGATACTTCTACATTTGAAACTACAGCTGCCACGTGGAAAATGGACACGCAGCTCATTGAAGCATTGTGAATTGTAACATGAATCCTGAAGCCAGCCCTAACGCAGTGGTTACTTATTGTAGTGCATGTTGGACCTCATTACCTCCAAAAGGGCGAGCAGACATGTTGCATTTTCCAGATTATTGGTACAGATCGCCAGCTCCCCTTCCGTCATGTCCTCCTGTCGCCTTCAGCGTGCCGGAAATCGCTCCAAACAACCCAGGGAACGAGAATGACGTCACAACTGGGTCTCGAGAAACACTAGCGAACAGAGTGGGGCGCTGCAGTCGTCCGTTGCAAAGACCTTACTTCAGCTTCCTGGCATGGTTTTCGTTCGTAAAGAATGGTACAGATTAAACGAAATTCGAACAGTAGGGGTGCTGCGGACACTACTGCTGGTAGATGAAGTTTATTTCGCAGTATGACTGCCGACATGAAAATCAAACCATTCAGCATATTATATCTGGATGACTGCTGCGAAAGTTCTACGGCAACGTAGCTGATGTCTAGAATGCTGCCATGTCTGCCACTCATTGGCTTTCTGTATATTCTAGTATAAAGT